ATTTCCAAAAGAAAACCAATTACATGTCTCTAGAACAGACATAAGGCAAAATAATCACTAAGTAAAGGTGTAACAAAATGTCTCTAGAATAGACATATATGGCAGAAAAAATAAAATAAAATCCCCTGTCCAGGGATTTATTTTTGCCATGCATTGTTCATAGAGCTCTTTGTGGCGTTGCCTCAGATGTTGAACTAGATTTGTTGCGCCAAGTTAACATGTACTCCGTCTGCAGTCCGTATACAGTATGTGTATGCGGTGCAGAAGCAGCACGGACTCATTTTGCTTTCGCACAGGACACTTTTGCAGTCCGCTCCTGATCCGTGGCTGTTTACCACAAACACAACATTTATCCATTACTTTGATTTCAAATCCAAACGTTGTTTCTGAAAATGCTTTCTCAGCATTGTGATTCTCTTTTATCACAGTACAGTAATACAATCTTTTATAGACATATTCACGTTTAAACTCAATAAATATAACTTCGTTTAACTACTACCACGAGTGCCATCTATTATTGCCTTGTTTATCTAAAAGTGCACTTTTCCTTGTTTTAAATCTAGCCAAAAAGCCATGTGTTGACTGTGAAACAGAGGGAGGTCGGGGGTGCGTAAAATCCTGCTATAAATCGATTTAGAAATCGCGCAAGCTCAAATCGCGATTTTTATGACGATTTCGATTAATCGCACAGCCCTAGTTTGATTAGGGTTTGGTATCGTTTCGATACCGGTGACAAATCGATACTTTTAAAACGGTTCCGGTGCCTAAACGGTGCCTGAACCGATACTTATTAAACAATAAATAAATAAATTCCCCCAAAAATGATGGATTGGCTATTACTATAAACACATGATGTCTGTTTCATTCATACTGGATGCCAGAGGGCGCCCTCGCACAGAAAATCCCCATATCCAGTGTAATTACTGCATTCACGCGCTCCTCGGATTCTCTCATTTCCCGATATGTGCTTTTAAGTCAGAATGTGAAAACAACATGGACACTCGCGTTACTACAAAGATTTGTTGGATTTGTATTATTAGAGCTTGCACATGCATTTTCTCAGTCGGGAAATTATTTTTCACGTACGGTGCCGGTGATGATGCTTCTTACGTCCGTTTCGGAGAACCAGAGGACAAATATTTCAATCGATTGCTCAGGCATGGCACCAAAATGAGGCACCGACATCTGCGTTCTGATTCGGTTCTAGTACATACTGGTTACATGGGTACCGGTGCCATATTGGTACTGGGTTTCGGTACCCAACCCTAGTTTTGATGTGAGAGGACAACAGGGCATGGAGCTATTATGGATTATGGTATTTTGTCCAGAAACAATGGTTTTAAACACCTTGATAGATTTGTTTCTTATAAACATGTAGCTTTTCACTTTACAATGTTAACCAATGGACTGGAGTGGTGTGGATTAATTATGTTTTTATCAGCTGTTTGGACTCTCATTCTGACGGCACCCATTCACTTCAGAGGATCCATTGGTTAGCAAGTGATGCCAAATTTCTCAATCTGTTCCAATGAAGAAATAAACTCGTCCATATCTTGAATGTTTTTTGAGTGTACTATTCATTTAAAATTAAATGAAAGCCAAAAGTATTTGTGATTACCTGTGTCTAGCTTATTGTTTTGCTTATTGTATTGTCTATTATTTTGAATAAATACCCAATTTATTTTTCAGTATAATAACATTAGTACAATATTTCTCATAATTTTTTATATATATATATCACTGAAAGTGGGTTTAGATCTTTTAATAGATTATAACCTTTCAGGGGATGTCATTTTTCAGCTACTATTTGAGGAAAAACTTGAAGAAACAAACTTGACACCATCACCACTAGCTATCCATTTTATAATTAGCCTTGTCTAGTCTATAAATATTTATCAAGCAATATGTTCATCATTATTACAATTCTTGCATGTAGTTTAATACTGTACTCTAATACTGATCTTTACCACATACAGTCAGCAAAATATCATTTGTGATGTGAATCTTTACACAAGAGATGCATCCGTCAAACAACAGGTAGCTTCACCTCTGTCAACTCCCTTAATGTCAATATAACATTGTATTGTAAAAATACAACCTTTTTTGCATTTAAGCTTCACCGAAGGCTGAGGCTCAAAGGTTCTCCTATCTAACTGAGCAGAAGTGGTATAAAAACACTTAGTCATTTTCATAAGAAAGAGTTCAGTGGGTTCATGTACTCTTAAAAAGACTCGTCCCAGAAAACGTCTGCTGCTCTAGTTGTTGGAGTGAGTCTCAAAGGGGTGCTAATGTGGAGAGAAACTTTGCATGTGCCCTTGACCTATTCCCACCCACACAGGAAGTCACGAGAGGAATGGTCCGCCATATAAATGTGTCAGTGTGGTTCTACCGGCCACTTCCTAAACCTCCAATGACCAGAAATATTGTGCTTTTTTTTTTTTTTGCAGAACAGCAACACAATACTGAGCTTGTGTAGCTAAGCTTCTCTGTTCGAATAGAAGTATTACACTTTTGCTGCATAACTATTCTAAGCCATCGTATTTATGCTTTTTCCTTTTTTGTTAGTGCCAAAACTATATTTTGATAGGTAGATTGCAAGTGTATTTCCTCAGTCTATTTTCTAGATTGACAATGATGCCAGATTCTCAGTATTTGTGTGACAAGTATCCCAGTTTCAAAAGGCCGAAAACATGGGCAATTACTTGCCTTTGTGAAAATGTCAAAGTGCTCCAAAGACCTGCCATAACAGGTTTCCTGCCCACACCATGGCAGCCGCAGTCGAGCCGGTCTCCATGAGGACCTGTGCCAACTTGTCATGCTTTACTTTTCCTCCAAGTCAGCCCTGGAGACAGGGAGTGATTTTGAACGAATGTTATCTATGGCTAGACATGACCTACATTAAGATATAAAAAAACAAAAAAAGATCAAATAGAGAACTATAGAGGCTGGACTAGTGGCTGGAATTGTCCCTGTTTTGGGTAAAAAAAATAAAAATAAATCCTTGTCTCCATGATTTAAGGATGATTTTAAAATCTTATTTTAGGAGCCAATCTCTCTATTTTTTAATGAAAACATAGCAGTCATGACAAAATAAAGCACAATATAAATTAATATTATGTAGAAATGATTACTTTTGTAAATTGTTATATTTATTATTAATATTGATAATGTAAATAATAATGATAATAGTTTATTTATTGTTTTAATAGTACTGGATATATTCATTATATAATAGTTTATATATTTAAATCAACAGATTCAGATTATTTAAATAAACAGATTATATTTGTTTTAAAATTCTATTTGTTATAAAATTTATAATATTTTACATTAACTTAATAATAATAATAACAACAATAGTAATAATGGCTATTTTGTATTTTATTAATGATAATTTATATTATTTGTAGATTAATTTTGTTTTTGAAAATATTGATAGTTTGTGTTTGTTATTATTAAGGATAGTGGTGGAATTATCTATTTATAATTGTTTTTCAGTAGCAACAACAATAATTAGAACTATTTCTTAGATATATTTATTAATTTATTTTTGTTGTTGAAAATAACAATAGTAATGATGGTAGTTTATGTATTATAGTATAGGTGGTATTCATAATATGGTGATTTAGTAAAATAATATGATTAGTTTAATAATATATAGTATTTTAAAATAAACATGAACATTTATAGATTTACATTAACAGTATGATTTTATCAATATTAAAAATAATAGCTATTATATTTTATTTATAGTTATTGATGATGATGATAATAATAATAATAATAATAATAATAATAATAATAATAATAATCATCATTATTATTATTATTATTATTATTTTGAATGTGTTATGTAGAGTACAACGCCTATACAGTTCTGTTGTGTGAGATACACCGATGGTGTGGGGGTGTGTGACTGATTTCTGTGCCAAGGAGAAGTGAAAACAAGAATATGACTGTGCAAACCTTTGTGCTGAGCAGTACTAATCACTATTTTTGATTTACCTGAAAGCATAGATTCACTCCATAAAAACAACATGTAAAACAGCCATAAAACAGCACATTTTGTTGTAGTGATGTCTGCAAACATGATTGATAATCAATAATTGTATTAGTCAAAGCCATAGAAGCATGCTCCATTAAAAAAATAAAATAAAATAAATCCCTAAAAGGTTAAATCCCTGGCTTGAATAGAGCTGAATTAATTATTTGGCATACTTAATAATATTGTAAATGTACATTTTTGATTGATATGTATGGTGGACTCTAGGGGGCGATTTAGACTAATTTTTATTTATTTTATCTTCGTTTTCTCTCTTTTAAACCATGACAAACTGGAAAATGAATGGTTTGTGGTTTCTCCCACTTTATAGCCTCTTTTCCATCAACATATTTGCCTTTCATGACTCTGGTCGGCACTCGGTCAGCAGCAGTCTAAAATAAAGCTTGTGGAATTGCAGGCCTTTAGTTAATCGTTGCCCTCAGAATGTCATTGGTGGTGGTATGGTCACGGAGCTTCAGCATATAACCTTTCATTTTCTCTCAGATGTATCTCGTTTGAATCCGTACCATATTTATATCTCTCTCTTTCCTATTTTTTTGTAATTTTGTTCTGTTCTGTATTTTGTTTGTTATGTTTAGGGTTTTTCATATTTTTTTTTTTTTCCTGTTCCATTTTTTGCTTTATATTTTATATTTATATAAAATTGCTTTATATATTTTTTTATTTTATGCTGCTTTGTTTTTTTGTTTTATTTTTTTCTGTTTAATTGTTTAAGAGAAGATGCCATCCTGAAGCACATTGTGACATCTGAGTATGTTTCCACGAGTTTGTATGTTTGTTAATGACTTATAATCTTGTCATTTTGATCCCAGGGCCAAACATCAGAAGCTGAAAAGTGGGACTGACCAGAGCCCCGGAGAGAAGAAACCAGAGACAGAAGCTGAACCAAGTAACACCACAAAAAACACATGCACTTATGACATGTGATGTGATTCAAATTTACCAAAACATATCTATCATGCCCAGAACAAATAGTGTATGCTGTTTGTTATATGTTTTCTTTGTGCTCAGTGGAACGCACTTAAATAATTATTTGGTATAATTTTGCCAGAAAAAGTTTTAGAATTTTGATCATGTTAATGTAAAAAATATAACTTGTATAATATAATAACTTGTGTTTGTTTGTTTGCTGGTTTTTATTGTATTTGTTATACTTGTATTTTTTTTTATTCTGTTTGCCATGAAAATAGCCTAAGATGCTGACATGGCATTAAATAAAAATATACTACTACTACTTTGTGCTCAGTGACATCATTTTGTTTCTCACAGTACCCAATGGGCCTGCAGATTCAGATTCGGAACCAACCAATCAGATGCCTTGGAAGGAGGGCCGTCAGTTACTGCGCAAGTCAGTGTATTTTGTTTGAAGTTATTCTCAGATTTATTTATCAAAATATTGTGCTGACCCTGTGCATGTTTTTTTTTTTTGTTTTTTTTTGTTTTTTTCTGTACATGAGCAGGTACCTGGAGGAGGTGGGATATTCCGACACCATCTTGGACATGCGCTCCAAACGTGTTCGTTCTCTTCTGGGTCGCAACAGCCCAGAGGCGAACGGGCCTCCTCCCAGCGAAGCGCCCACAGAACCAGAACCTCACGGTGAAGGAGAGTCACTACTAGTGCGCCAGATAGAAGAGCAGATCAAACGGTTAGAGCAACACGCATTTTGACATCTTGGTATTAAGTCAGCAAAATACAGTCCAGTAGGTGTTTGCGTGCTGATGAAGTCATCTTTAGAAATCTTAATCAATATTAAAATAAATTATCTTATTTTATTTTGCCCTCTGAAATCACAATCACACATTTTGTGATCAAATATTATAAAATAATTTACAGTTGTCCCAGGCAACCAGTTGCCTACAAAACCATGCTAGTTTTACCACTTTGGTCCTAAAAAAAACAACAACTAGCATTCATTTATTTGTTGGTTTGTGTAATAAGTAAGATATAAAAACAGACTGAAACAACTCCAACTTTAAATTCTGATTGGATGAGAAATTATTAAAGAGGCTGTAAAATTTATTTTGCTTTGTTTTGTTCTGTTTTGTTTTGTTTTGTTGTATTATTGTTTAGTTCTTTTGTTTTGTTCTATTTAGTGTTTTTGTTTTATTCATTTAGTTTTTTTTAATTATTTTTGTTATTTGTTTTTGATCTATTATTGTTTTGTGTTTTTGTTCCTCTTGTTTTGTTTTGTTCTATTTAGTGTTTTTTTTTTATCTATTATTGTTTTGAACTTTTGTTTTGTTCCTCTTTTGTTTAGTTTTTGTTTGATTCTTGTTTATTTTTTATTTATTGTAATGTTCAGTAGTGTTTTTGTTTTGGCATTTTTGTCTGGTTTGTTTTTGTTCTTTTTTTACATTACAGTGTGTTTTTTTTGTTGTTGCTTTTTATTTATTTTTTATGCTTAATTTAGTTTTATTTTACTCAGCAGATTTCCCACAGCTGAAGGCTGCTATAAACACACCTTTGACTGCACTTTGACTTGTGTTGCTTGGAAACTGCATACAGCGATTTGTTAGGATAATGCAGTATGTTTCTTGGCAGAGTGATTGTTTATTACTATAATTGTTCATAATAAATTTCTGTTCAAAACTCCTAATTGAACATTGTGTACTGTATCATATTACTGTTCCTAGCAGTTTAGACAAGCAATAATCCACAAGAGACTTGAGAGGGGTCTTATAATATCATATAAGTGTTTGCAAGGGCATTTTTGAAACTATTGTTTATGTAGTTGTGGTAATCATGAAGAAATCTCTCTCCTGCAGCCGTGCTGGAAAAGAGAGCTCTAAAGAGCGGATGGGCAGCTCTGTCCTGGATAAAATTCCTTTCCTTCGTGGCTGTGAGGATGACGATGAAGATGACAGTGATGAAGAGGAGGACTTCCAGGGCATGACTACAGACTGCATTGATGGACGCAAAAGCAAGAAGTCCAGGAGCAAGGTCAGAGTGTTTACACGCAGATAAGGTCTGCACGCACAGATCCTGTTTTGTTGCTAACAGCGTGTCGCCTGTGTGCATGTAGAATGGCGGAGAACCCATGACCACAGATCTTGACCCTGAGGATGATGACGACGAAGATGATTCTGAGGACGCTCTGGGCGAGTTTGATTTCTTGGGCTCAGGAGAGGAAGGTGAAGGGGCGGGAGAAGCTCGCATATTTGGAGACGGCCGTGAATTAGGTATGGAGGCCCGTATGTTCAACATTTGTGCATATGTTGAACTGTGCAAAAATACATGCATGTATTTTTGACAGTGGATGTGAGGGTTTCCCTTCCCTTTATTGTCATGCTGTGACCACTCATTGTTTTCTTTTAATTTGCTTTTGTTTGTAACTTCCTGTTGATAAAATCTGTTGAAGGGACCTCCATTCTGTCCTCACGTCACTGCACACTTGTTTGTTTCCCTGATATTCTCTTCACCTCTTCCAAACATGTCATCGTACCACAGGATGAGCGACTGGCAGCGGTGGATTTAGTTTTGTTCTGCTCTGTCTGATGGTTTGTTTGCTTCTCTCGCTTTCTCTGCCCAGGTTCAGAGAACCGCCGGAACAAGTTGCAAGGCATTATGTCAGATTTTCCTCCCAAACCTGCTCCACCTCCTTCTATCACGGGCCAGACGCGCTCCGGAGAGGGTAAGATCAGAATCTCTGAACGCACGTTCTGATCCCAAACTGATCACTTTTGACCATAAAAAAAGCTTAATATTTTCAGTTATTTGCTTTGAAAAAGATTAAAAGACTCATTTAACCCTACTTATTTAAATATTCTTTCTTTGTTTAAATATCCATCATGTCTGATGCAAAGCATGAAGTTGAGTGATGCATCTTTCTTTCTTTCTTTCTTTCTTTCTTTCTTTCTTTCTTTCTTTCTTTCTTTCTTTCTTTCTTTATCTCTCTCTCTCTCTGTCTCTCTCTCTCTCTTTCTTTCTTTCTTTCTCTCTTTCATTCTCGCTCTCTTTCTTTCTCGCTCTCTTTCTTTCGCTCTCTCTTTCTTTCTTTCTTTCTTTCTTTCTCTCTCTCTTTCTTTCTTTCTCTCTCTTTCTTTCTCTCTCTTTCTTTCTTTCTCTCTTTCTTTCTTTCTCTCTCTCTTTCTTTCTTTCTTTCTTTCTTTCAAGGAAACAGAACAACCAAACAATCATTGTTACCAATAGATAAAAAATGTTTAATGCATTAAGTAAAATAAAATGTGGACACGTTTCCATATTATTGTGTTATGTTATGTTATGTTATGTTATGTTATGTTATGTTATGTTATGTTATGTTATGTTATGTTATGTTATGTCATTTTAGAATAACTGTCATAGATTAAAAGTGATTATTAATAAACTTTAATATTTACATTTTTTTAACCCCAAAATGTGAAATCGTAGTGAGAACTACATGATGCATATCGTACAATTGGTTTTTAAATATATTTATTGAAATAGACCAAAACCTAAACCAGAAATTATGGTGTTAAGTATTTAGATTTTATAACTGTCACTTTTTTTTTTCGAATAAAATTTAAGCGTGTGTTTATCTAGAGACATCATTATGATACTTGCACAATCCTTTGGAAATTAATTGGCAAATTAAAAATGCATTTTAATCACGGCAATATTCTTAATGTTTCTTTCTAAACCGCTTTTCTTTATAAACAACTATGTTTATCGTTGTGAATCTGTAGAATGTCTGTGCTGAATTTTCCATGTTCATTCTGTGAATTGTTGTGTATCTGTATGAACTCAAGGGGGAGCTCTTGGCTTCTCATCTGATGTCTTCATTCTGGATGCGGTTGGAGGAGGGGATATGAACCTCGGAGAGCTAGCTGACCTCACTGTTGCCAATGATAATGACCTCACCATTGACGTTAGTGTTATAAGTTATAATCTTTCTTCTTCAAACAAATGTGAATTTTAAGCATTAGAGAGACATATAGTATGTCAGAATTATTTCTGCAGTATATAGAATGGTGTATATACAAAACGCAATTGAAGTGACTGAAAACATTACATTCACTTCCCACTATATTCTTTAAAAATGATATTATTTCTGTCAAAAATACTTTTGTTAAATGTATACTAAAATGTTCTTTTTCACCAGGAATAGTAACCTTTGATATGATCAGTTGCAGGACAGTCGAGAAGAGTTCAAAAAGACGTGGAACCCTCGCTTCACACTACGAAGCCACTTCGACGCCATCCGAGCATTGACCTTTCACCCCAGCCAGGCCGTGCTGCTGTCCGCCTCTGAGGACGGAACGCTCAAGCTGTGGAACCTCAACAAGGCAATGCACTCCAAAAAGTAAGAAGCACATCCTAACCCTGCATCTTTTCTCCAAAGCAAGACACACAAACAAGGCTGAGAAGATCTATATTTTACTGCCCTCTATGCTAAGAATGTTACTATAATTGTGTTAGTGTAGGTGTCTGGAAGTGTATTTAGAAATATCGATCCATAAAAGATTATTTTAGTGCTGTCTAACATGGAAGCCTCTCATTTTTGCTTTCACAGAAATGCAGCGCTGGACGTTGAGCCCATTTATACATTCAGAGCACACAGGTGAGTGGGACAGGTTTATAATTAGACTGAGATCGGCTCTCTAAAAATTAAATGGTATGACCTGTGGCTAACATACTCTGCCAAGTGCTCGAGGCTAAATTATGAGGCTAAAGCTCCATTATAAAACCTAGTGGGCTTCCCAAGTAGCAGCTGAACTGAAAAATGAACTGAAGCTAGAGATGCACATTATACTGGTACCATTGGTGAATATTCAATGGTGTGTTCACACCAAACACGAAGCGAATATGCGCATCGCGTCACTCGCTCTAGATTACTTGCGGGATGTTTTCCGCATCACTCGCGAGAATAAAAACATTGCGTGATCAACCATGGTGGAGATGACTACGATCACTGCTTTGTACCTGTTGTGGAAGTCCCAAATATGCCGAAAATAGCCAACCGCAGACGTGTCTGAGTTCACAGCATCATCTAAAGGCGGATGAGTATTAATCCTGCACTAATTTGTGTTACATTTTACTACTGTATATACACTGACATTAGGGCTGCACGATTAATCTAAATTAAATCGCAAAGGCGATAAATCGCGATTAGGCAGAAGCTGCGATTGTCATGCGTATCTTTCAGTGAAGCAAGGTTCTGTGATCAGTAGTAAATCTCCATCCGAAGACCAGAGGGCGCTCTTGTGCTGAAACTCCAAATACACCCCGCAGAACAAACCCAGGAAATCCCTATAGCGGTTGCTGAATAAACAGAAGATTTAACTGCTTTCATTAATTCAACGTGACTAATAAACATACGACTACGACAATATGTGGTTTATCTGAGTTCGTTTTATTATAATAAAGTATATAATAATGCAATGCTCTGTGTAGTAAATGCTGCTCCATCTGAAAGCAAGTGATGGAGATTTACTACTAATCACAGAACCGGCTTTACTGACAAGATACGCATGACAATCACATTCGATTAATTGTGCAGCCCTAACTGACATAATTTTTTCGGGGTGCGTAGACGGCTACAATAAAGCTCTCTTCCATTTTCTGATTTAACCGGATGTGACAATAAGCTCTTTGCTGATTTGCTTGCGCGAGAACGCATCATGCAAATTTTCCGTTTGAGTTGAAATTTTTCAGTTTGCGTGGAAGATGCGATTGAGGCGAATATCACGCGTTCGTGGCAAATGTGTCGTGCATTTTGCGTCATTCATTGCGTCATTTGCCTCTATTCGCGTCTTTGCATTGACTTTGTATGTAATCTACTCGCACGAATATTTACATTCACGTTTGGTGTGAACATAGTGTGAGCGTATTTTTTATTTATTTTTTTTCCTTTATCAGTATTGGTAGCAGCAGAGATTGTAAATTTAATTGTGCATGCTCGTTTTCCCTATATTTGTTTAAATTGCTTTTGCTTTATCTTTGATTTAACACTTACTTTAGCTTATCTTTATGGAAGCCGTGGAATAAAAGAATTTAAAAAAGTAATTGCGACTTTTCATCTCACAATTTAGACTTCTTTTTTTTTTCAGAAATATAAACTCCGATTTACAAGATCTAAACTCTAAATTGTGAGTTATAAAGCCATAATTGCGGAATATAAACTCGCAATTGCAAGGAAAAAGTCAGAAATGTGAGATAAAAATGGACAAATTGACAAAATAATTGAAAAAAGTGACTAATAATTGAGCTTTTAAATGTAATCTTTGGCAAATTCCAAAACATCCATTTTTCATACTGTACATTGTAATGTTTAATGCCAACATTTGCTTGTAGCATGAGTTTAGTGTTGGTGTTTTAGTGTAGTTTTAAAAATTTATTTAGACAAATTAGTTAAATATCTGCATTAGTTAAAATCTGTCCATCTGTAATTGAAACTAACAGAGTAAAATAATAAAACATACTCTATTGAAACAAAAACAGGACATTGGGTTGAAATACTCAACTTTTCATTAATTCTCATTTAATTAATATTGAATAATAATTAATTATAAATGTACACTGCCATTCAAAGGTTTGGGGTCAGTAATATGTTTTTTTTTCTGTCTTTCTTTCTTTTTTTCTTTTTTTTTTAATTAATACATTTATATAAAAGAATACATTAAATTGGTCAAAAGTGCCAGTAAAGATATTTAGAATGTTATATCTCTATTTCAAATAAATACTGTTTTTAACTTTCTATTCATAAAAACATGTTGAAAAATACAAAAATATTTAAGACCGCTGTTTTCAAAATTGATTGTAAGATTTTTTTCTTGAGCAGCAAATCTCAAACATAGGATGATATTTGAGTGATTTCCATATTAATATTGAAATGAGTCAGCACCACAATATGTATCAAAGTGTCTGTGATCAGTAGTAAATCTCCATCCGAAGACCAGAGGGCGCTCTTGTGCTGAAACTCCAAATACACCCCGCAGAACAAACCCAGGAAATCCCTATAGCGGTTGCTGAATAAACAGAAGATTTAACTGCTTTCATTAATTCAACGTGACTAATAAACATACGACTACGACAATATGTGGTTTATCTGAGTTCGTTTTATTATAATAAAGTATATAATAATGCAATGCTCTGTGTAGTAAATGCTGCTCCATCTGAAAGCAAGTGATGGAGATTTACTACTAATCACAGAACCGGCTTTACTGACAAGATACGCATGACAATCACATTCGATTAATTGTGCAGCCCTAACTGACATAATTTTTTCGGGGTGCGTAGACGGCTACAATAAAGCTCTCTTCCATTTTCTGATTTAACCGGATGTGACAATAAGCTCTTTGCTGATTTGCTTGCGCGAGAACGCATCATGCAAATTTTCCGTTTGAGTTGAAATTTTTCAGTTTGCGTGGAAGATGCGATTGAGGCGAATATCACGCGTTCGTGGCAAATGTGTCGTGCATTTTGCGTCATTCATTGCGTCATTTGCCTCTATTCGCGTCTTTGCATTGACTTTGTATGTAATCTACTCGCACGAATATTTACATTCACGTTTGGTGTGAACATAGTGTGAGCGTATTTTTTATTTATTTTTTTTCCTTTATCAGTATTGGTAGCAGCAGAGATTGTAAATTTAATTGTGCATGCTCGTTTTCCCTATATTTGTTTAAATTGCTTTTGCTTTATCTTTGATTTAACACTTACTTTAGCTTATCTTTATGGAAGCCGTGGAATAAAAGAATTTAAAAAAGTAATTGCGACTTTTCATCTCACAATTTAGACTTCTTTTTTTTTTCAGAAATATAAACTCCGATTTACAAGATCTAAACTCTAAATTGTGAGTTATAAAGCCATAATTGCGGAATATAAACTCGCAATTGCAAGGAAAAAGTCAGAAATGTGAGATAAAAATGGACAAATTGACAAAATAATTGAAAAAAGTGACTAATAATTGAGCTTTTAAATGTAATCTTTGGCAAATTCCAAAACATCCATTTTTCATACTGTACATTGTAATGTTTAATGCCAACATTTGCTTGTAGCATGAGTTTAGTGTTGGTGTTTTAGTGTAGTTTTAAAAATTTATTTAGACAAATTAGTTAAATATCTGCATTAGTTAAAATCTGTCCATCTGTAATTGAAACTAACAGAGTAAAATAATAAAACATACTCTATTGAAACAAAAACAGGACATTGGGTTGAAATACTCAACTTTTCATTAATTCTCATTTAATTAATATTGAATAATAATTAATTATAAATGTACACTGCCATTCAAAGGTTTGGGGTCAGTAATATGTTTTTTTTTCTGTCTTTCTTTCTTTTTTTCTTTTTTTTTTAATTAATACATTTATATAAAAGAATACATTAAATTGGTCAAAAGTGCCAGTAAAGATATTTAGAATGTTATATCTCTATTTCAAATAAATACTGTTTTTAACTTTCTATTCATAAAAACATGTTGAAAAATACAAAAATATTTAAGACCGCTGTTTTCAAAATTGATTGTAAGATTTTTTTCTTGAGCAGCAAATCTCAAACATAGGATGATATTTGAGTGATTTCCATATTAATATTGAAATGAGTCAGCACCACAATATGTATCAAAGTGTGAGTGCACTACCAGTACCACTTTGTTGTGGTCTTTTAATATGTTTTTTGTGTGTGTGTGATTCAGTGGTGCTGTTCTTTCTCTGGCTATGGGGGAGGAAGGAGAATCGTGCTTCAGCGGGGGTCTGGACGGCACCGTGCGCGGCTGGAAGATTCCAGACCTTAATGTGGATCCTTATGACAATTATGGCAAGTCTACCTAATACTGCATTTGCAATGTGACTGAAAGACAGTTCTCTAGAGGGCGCTGACTATAAATGAATTTTGGCAACACATTAGACAGAGCTAGTCATAAATGTTGTGTGTGAATGTGTTCAGATCCAGGCGTGGAGAGCAGCGTGTTGTCGGGCCATGAGGACGCAGTGTGGGGTTTGGCCTACTCCTCCAGCCTGAAGCGTTTGGCCTCCTGCTCTGCAGATGGGACTGTGCGGATCTGGGACCCCCATAATTCCTCACCGTGTGTGTCTGTTTTCAACAAGGAGAAAGGTGAGGAGAATACCTAGTGCGTTCGGATTGTTTGTCTTTTCTGTTTGTCCCTCTCATTGCCTGTCTGTCTTTCAGAACATGGCACTCCCACCTCGGTTGCCTTTGTAAACTCTGACCCGTCCCAGGTTGTTGTGTCCTTCGATGGGGGCGAGACTCTGCTTTATGACCTCAACACAGAGCAAAGCATCATGGTCCTGGAGAACCAGGCTAAGGATGGTAAGTGCCTTGGTAATGCACTTGCATGTCATCAAAATGATTATTTTAGTACTTTATTAGTCTGCCATTTTGGGAAAAGTCATTTAAATTAATAAAATCTTAAAAATGTGTGAAAATTGCTTTAAATAAATTGAATGATCTTATTCATATGATATGAATGAATTGATTCGAGAAATTATACTTATAAGGAATAATAAGGTTCCATTAATTTAACTGACTGTAACAATGAGCGATACATTTGTTATAGTATTTATATTTTAAATTAACTTTATTTAATAAAAATGAAACCGTTTATTGTTATTTCATGTTAGCTCAGTTCCATTAAATATTTTGGTAAAATTTTGCCAGACAAACTTTTTATTTTAATAATGTATGAGAAAATATTGAAATTAACTAAGATTAATAAATGCATTAGTATTTTTCTGTATTTCTCATTGTTATTTCATGTTAATTAAACTACTGTAGGTAACTAATCTTAAGAAAAGGAACCATAGTATAAAGTGTTATACTAAGACCCCCTTTATCTTATGTGTATTTGATTTCATTAGACGACGTCGTGATTATGAATCAGGATTTTTGTGCAGATTAACATAAGTGAGAGCTGGTTGTGTAGTCTTAATGGGCCGCTTTCTAGTCACTATTTCATATTAAAACAGAAAACAGAAAAATATACCAGTGAAAACAGCTTTATTGAGAATTTGGCTGCATTAAAATACAGTTTGTGAGCACTAGCGTGTTGTCGGGCCATGAGGACGCAGTGTGGGGTTTGGCCTACTCCTCCAGCCTGAAGCGTTTGGCCTCCTGCTCTGCAGATGGGACTGTGCGGATCTGGGACCCCCATAATTCCTCACCGTGTGTGTCTGTTTTCAACAAGGAGAAAGGTGAGGAGAATACCTAGTGCGTTCGGATTGTTTGTCTTTTCTGTTTGTCCCTCTCATTGCCTGTCTGTCTTTCAGAACATGGCACTCCCACCTCGGTTGCCTTTGTAAACTCTGACCCGTCCCAGGTTGTTGTGTCCTTCGATGGGGGCGAGACTCTGCTTTATGACCTCAACACAGAGCAAAGCATCATGGTCCTGGAGAACCAGGCTAAGGATGGTAAGTGCCTTGGTAATGCACTTGCATGTCATCAAAATGATTATTTTAGTACTTTATTAGTCTGCCATTTTGGGAAAAGTCATTTAAATTAATAAAATCTTAAAAATGTGTGAAAATTGCTTTAAATAAATTGAATGATCTTATTCATATGATATGAATGAATTGATTCGAGAAATTATACTTATAAGGAATAATAAGGTTCCATTAATTTAACTGACTGTAACAATGAGCGATACATTTGTTATAGTATTTATATTTTAAATTAACTTTATTTAATAAAAATGAAACCGTTTATTGTTATTTCATGTTAGCTCAGTTCCATTAAATATTTTGGTAAAATTTTGCCAGACAAACTTTTTATTTTAATAATGTATGAGAAAATATTGAAATTAACTAAGATTAATAAATGCATTAGTATTTTTCTGTATTTCTCATTGTTATTTCATGTTAATTAAACTACTGTAGGTAACTAATCTTAAGAAAAGGAACCATAGTATAAAGTGTTATACTAAGACCCCCTTTATCTTATGTGTATTTGATTTCATTAGACGACGTCGTGATTATGAATCAGGATTTTTGTGCAGATTAACATAAGTGAGAGCTGGTTGTGTAGTCTTAATGGGCCGCTTTCTAGTCACTATTTCATATTAAAACAGAAAACAGAAAAATATACCAGTGAAAACAGCTTTATTGAGAATTTGGCTGCATTAAAATACAGTTTGTGAGCACTATCAAATTATTTTTTTTTTGCAAGTGCAATGCATTGTAAATGGTTATTCACTGTTTAAAAGGAAATGTCTGCTTTTTTTTTTGCAATAACACTTAGTATTTGCATGTGTAAAGTGTCTAATAATTGGTCTTCAGTGTTAGACTTTGAGTGAAAAGCCTATGGATAGTTTATGGGGATGCACATAAATATTGTATACACATACATACACACACAAACACACACACAAAGAAAAAAAAAATCATACAGACTTGCGAACCCAACCATGCATACACAATCAAAACAAAAACTCAAACTTGCAAGCACAACCATGCACATGCAAACAAACAATACACTTTCACTCACAAATATTAACAAACTCACACACACAGATTAATAATGTACAATAGTCAATCCACCTGATAAACAGGTGCAAGATTTGTGTGATTCAATTATTAATAATTTTTCTTGTTGTTGTTCTTTTGTTAAAAAGGAAGGATCTAACTTAAGGATGTGTTCCATTTGGTGCCATAGAAACCATTATACTTGAAATGTTTAATACATTTTCATGGTTTTCTGCAATGTTTGAGGCATATCGAAACAGCTGTACCTAAATACTTTTCATGCTTTTATGTTGGCCTAATTTCAGTTACATTTACATTTTAGGCTATGTAGTTTAAATTTGTATTTATTTTTAGATTTTTATTGTATTAAGAACTCGGGTATATGTGGACAAAATGCATATTGCAATTTTTTTGTTGCAAATAAAACTCCCATAGTCCATAATTACTGTAGTTTTAACTTATTTTAATATGTAAATTCAGTTAAATTATCAAACATTTGTATGACTTGACAGTGACTTGCTTGACCCAAGCTACGACTTGACTTGAATTGATTGACATAAAGCAGTGACTTGACTTGACTTGACTTGACTCTCACAAAAATTGACTTGAACTTGATTGAGACTTGAAGGTTAAGACTTGAGACTTACTTGTGACTTGCACATGTGTGACTTACTCCCACCTCTGATATACAGTATATATATATATATATATATATTTAAAAGTACATCAAAGTGGATGATACAGTTCTTGACATAAGTTGAAAATAATGGTTCCACACATCACATTACAAAAGTAAAATGGTTAATAATTGCTATTTCATGTCGACTTGAAGTCTGTTGTACAATAATGAAATATTGTGTTTTCTTTACCGCCCCCTGTAGGCAGCGAGCTGATTAACCGCGTGGTCAGCCATCCGACCCAACCGATTTCCATTACAGCCCACGAGAACCGCACCATCCGCTTCCTGGACAATAAGACAGGTGTGTGTGTTGGAGAGCCTGTAGCAATTTTGAGGCTCATAATAACACGGTGTATTTTCTAGCCGTGCGCTGTGGGAACTGTAAATACACCAGCAAAGCATTTGACTCTCCTACGGTGCAGTCACAATAAAAAAGCAGTTAAAAAAGAACCTCCGGTATAAAAAACCTCAATCGAATCGGTGCCAGACACCAACCTTTTCTCACCAGTTTATATAGCAAGAGCACTTGAAGAGAAGCGAATAACATTCCTGGTGTGAAAGATTAGCCAGCGAAAAAAAAAAAAAGACATCTGGAACGTGAACCCAGTCGTGCATTACCTGTGGTTTTGTTTTCAGGCACATTAGGATGTTTTTATTGATCTTTTTTTCCGTGTTCATAATGGAATTTGTCTTAAAGGTAAATTGTGTAATTTGAGGATGAGTCACGATGGTTAACTAGTCATCTAGTGAGGTTTATCTAGATTTTTTAAAAGCCTTTTCCTATAGCAGCAATACTTTAAAGCAGGGATTCTCAAATTTATTGTTAGCCAAATCCCTACAATAATATAAAATAGGTTAATATTTTAATAATTTAAAAACAAATTTGCATGGTCAAGCTGCTCTGTTTTTGGTTAAACAAATAAAATATATGTTTTTATTTCCCCTCATGAATCCCAGTTTTAGAAATCTTAATTAATTAAGGAACACAAACTTTACACAATGTTAGCCTATTGGTTGAGCCAGAGCTTGGAATATTAGACCGTTTCAAAACAATATTGTGTATCAAAAATATCCCACATGACCTAATCTTTCCTCCTCCCTCTCGCTTTGGCCAAAGGGAAAGTGATTCATTCCATGGTGGCTCACCTGGATGCTGTGACCTGTCTTGCCACAGACCCTAAAGGCACTTACCTCATCTCCGGCAGTAAGTAAATATACACGAACACGCAGTCTGCGACATCAGAAAGCAAAACAACATGCCAACTGAAGCCTTCTGAGCATATCCACGTCAACAGACCACATTCTCACGGAAATGGGAAAATCTCTGTAGCAATATTATGTGATTTCTGTTTTTCTCAGGTCATGACTGCTCTGTGCGCTTGTGGATGCTGGACAATCGCACGTGTGTGCAGGAGATCACAGCACACAGGAAAAAACACGATGAGGCCATTCATGACGTGGCCTTCCACCCCTCGCAGCCGTTCATCGCCAGTGCAGGGGCTGACGCGCTCGCCAAGATCTTTGTTTGATTTTCTCACTGGTAAATGCATATTCAAACACAGTAAAACTGGATTAAGAGTTAGAAGTTAAAAGGGTGCTGTATGCGATTTGGTCCATTTAAACGTTTAGTTCATCCAAAAATGAAAATTCTGTCATTAATTATTCACGCTCATGTCGTTCCAAACCCGTAAGACCTTCGTTCATCTTTGGAACACAAATTAAGATGTTTTTGATGAAATCCAAGAGCTTTCTGATCCTGCATAGACAGCAACGCAACTGAAACGTTCAAGACCCAGAAAGGTAGTAAGGACATCATTTAAATAGTCCATGTGACATCAGTGGCTCAAATGTAATTTTATGAAGTTACGAGAATACGTTTTGTGCAGAATTTTCATTTTGTGTGAACTATCCAGGGTTCGTACGATCATGAAAAACCTGGAAAAGTCATGGAATTTTAAAACCGCAATTTCCAGGCCTGGTAAAATTTTGGAGAAGTCACGGACATTTATTTTACAAATCTCTGTATAACAGAATATGTTTAATCAGGTCTTGAATTTCGGTGTGGAATTGCGCATATATCGCATAGTTTTACTCATTCCCGCAGCTTTCGATTTTATGTCATGAATTGGAGAATCAAAGTGTTCTTGTTCAAATTTTTAGTCTTTCCTACTCTTATGAAACATGGGATTCGAACTCGGGACGCCCTTAGTGCAGTGGTGCTGCATGTGGCACTGCCACAAGGCTATCAGCGCCAACAAAATACATTTAAAAATGCATTTTATATCCCCTTTAATTAAAAGAATGGCCCAAAATAGTCACTTGTTTGTGAATCGGACTACGCTGTTAGTCATGTATGTTTTTGTCTGCAGCCATGAGGTCAACTCAGCATTTTCTTGCTGTAATTTTACATTACACAATCTCTCTTATCTCTTCAGATTCAATTCACTCACAGTACTCAACACACAGTATCAACTTTTTCCATGTCACTGGAGATTCAGCAGTGAAAAAGTTGTCCTTATGGTCTAGTTCAGTCTTTAATGTCTGGCGCAAGTCAGCAAAAAGGCTAAAATTGCTTGCAGCACCTTGTTAGTAGTCGTAGTTGTGCATGTATGTTCACACGTGATGCCTTCTGCCTTGAGCTAACTTTTGCTTTTTTCTCTTCTCAGGGGATCCACCCTCACTACTGGGCCGAAAGAGTGAAATGCCGAGTATCCGCACACACACACTCACTCACTAAACGAGGGGAACAACGTTTAACAACTGTGTTAAAGGCACACGACCCAATAACCCATCATTTTTGATGTGATACAAACTCTACTGCTTTTAATACTAATGAGTTTGCTGCTCATGTCCTAATTTCAGTTTTAGATGACACTACTAATAACCTGCACAGTGTGTTGCGAGGGATGTCCAATCTGTTGACGGATGGACCCACACAAACACACCTTAACACAACACACACCCTGGATTTTAATTTCATGCTCGGTTTAGGTTGAGAATTTGAAGGCTCTTGGTAAACAAGACATTACCCAAGCCTGAACGTTTTCTCAATGCAAATTGCATTAGTGCTAATCTGTGAATTAATGTCCTCGCGTAACTGTTGCATGGTAACGTGAGGCGATCAATGCATTTCATTCCAAAGACTGCTTTAGATGAGTTTTTTTTTTTGGGGGGGTTGGGTTTTAGCTGCAAGTACAACACAGCTTTACCTTTAGCCTCACAGCTAAGAGCCTTAGTATTTCAGCCTTTCATAATCAGTTCAACACATTTCATTCGTATGACGAGTACACTTTGAACTAAAACCAAACACGTGTATCTGTGTGTGTGCGTTTGTGACGGTGCTAGCACAAGCATTTTGCAATCGCCGTCTTCATTCATATCCAATCAGGTGGCGTTATCCGTAATAGTCAGGTGACTGTTGAGTAGTGTATTTATTGTAGTGTTCGGTATCGGTCGGAAGACTCTCTGGGAAGATCTGCAGTTGGATGCGTAACTGATTTTTGTATATAAGCGGGATGCGCTGTACATAGCACACTTGTTTCACAACCTTGGTGCTAAGATCTCCTCTGAATCAGGGACCTGTTCACGACGAGGGTCGTAAAGTATCAAATCTCGGTTGATGCCTGCCATTCCTCAGAGTCATCACGTACGGTTCTTTGGCATTTCAGAAATACAGCAAGTGTGAATTTCAAAGTACTTCTGGTGTGCCCAAGTAGCTTTTAAGGTTTTGTCAGGGTATTTTTAAGACGATAAACTCTATATCCACGCTGGAGGTTCTTTGGTTGGGGATTGTCGCCAATAAAAAAAATTCAACCAACTACAAGTTCCAGTGTTTCAGTACAAAGTGTATTGTTGATTTCTGAGTTTTTAGACATCTGTGATCTCGACCCAAAAGTGGAGAGCGAAGCAAAGCTTGAAAGGACATTTTAAGTGATGAGAAACTAGTGCCGCCCAGTTTTCATTTGGATTACAAAGAGGTCAAAGCCCAGCGGTGAAACTTGGACAAATTCAAAAAGTCCTCTTGATGGGTTTTGTGCTGTTAGTCAATGCAAGGTGTTTCAGAGTAAAATAGCCCAGAGAAAAGAGCTCTTTAAGTGAAAATAAAAGTGGGGCACCTTGCTTCTTATTGGCTAAGCAAGGAATCCAAGATGCAACTCTGAAACCTGATGGGGGAAACCAAGGTGAGATGAAGAATCAGACCTGAATCTGATCTTTAGGTTTCTTTATCGGAGGGAGAGGTCTGGAGATCAAAGGTCACATCTTGTATTAGCCAGTTTCCGTTTTGTGGGGTTTATTTTTATCCTTTACTGGTTTTCCATGGTCATAGACAAGTGCCCAGAAGCGACAAAAAGACTGATGGGCCATAAAGAGCGCACTTGCATAATGGAGCCAAGTCGGTTCTTAACCAGACTGCCTCAATCCATCCAACTCGGAAAACAAGGTTTCCTACTTGGGGGTGTGATTTTTGGCTAGGAAAACCTGTTGGAGTGATTATTATTATTATTTTTTTAAAGTACAAGGTTATGTCTCGTGTCACTTGTCCAATGTCGAGACTACCGATTTATTTTGGGCTATTCGCCTAGTCAGTGAATGTCACATAACCACAGACTTGCGTTCAGTGGAATCCATAATCCTTTGCTGCTTACCTCTTACCTAGTAACTTCGCACGGCACACTAACGGTTAGCTTTATGCTACACTACATGTGTAGGATCACGCAAACGGTTCGGTTCATCATGTATTGCTGCATCGTTACGTTCTCTTCCAAAGACTGCCGATTGCATGGGTGTTTAGACGAGTCCTGCTGTCTCTTTTGTACACCTCTATTTACGCACCCCTCGATGCAATACGAGTCTTGAAATTACAACGACAAAACACATTCCTTACCGAGAGAGGACGAATATGTGTATAAATAAAAATAAAAGTAAAAATTGAAAGAAACCGAAAATGTTTATATGTTTGAAAAGCTGCCAATGCAAAATGTAACTTTCCCATTTTCTCACTTATTTGCTTTTCTTTACTAGACATATTATTATGATTACTAGTAATAAGGTGTAAGATGACCGTAGTACCTTTTTTGCTAGGCTTAAGACTTGCTTGTGATTGTGCAAAAGCCTAAACAACTGAAAATTGTATGAAAATTTAAGAAAAAAAAAAGAAAAAGTTTCAGTCCACAGCCAAAGTAAAATGACTTTTTGTTAAGTGTTTTTATTTTTTAAAAGCAATTTATCACTGTGTGATATTTTGTACATCATATTAAGCTGCATTCAAACTATATCCTCTAACTACAAGGGATAAAAAAGGCCAGCCTTTTATTTATTTTGTTTTATTATACATATTTTTGAACTGCTTTCTAGCTTGTATCGAAATACATCTTTCTTTCTTTTTTTAATGTGTTTTTATTTTGTTTACTCTGCAGGTCTTGTGTTGTATGTCATAAAAAAAATCCAAAAACAACTAAATAAAAACATGGTTTTGTACAGACATTTCATCCTTGTCTGGTCTGAACTCTGCTGTCTCTGAAAGTGCCTTTGGGTATACAGAATGTTAAACTAACTAATACTTACCACATTTCCTGTCTGTCTGTCTGTCTATCTATCTATCTATCTATCTATCTAAAGAAAAGAAGTGTTGAATTATGTAAAACATACTGTAAGTATTGTACGTCAGAACTTAGTTCAGAATTACCATTTATTGAAACTAAGCTGCAAAAACAACTCGTTATTACAAATATACAAACATTTGTAAGTCTGAAATACACTTTAACACAACAGCACCAACATTTAAATGTCAACAATACCTATATGCTAAATTTGACAACTTTCGCAGAAAATGCAGTCTTTTCAGAAAAAAAAACGTTTTATTAAATATTAAGAAGTTATAAGAACTAATTTTGCACAAAGTAGCTTTAAAAAAGGCTCTTGAATGTGAAAATTCCCTACTCTCAAAACCTGCCACCAACTAGCAACAGCAGGTAGAGAGAGAATTCATGGATTTGACTGATTATTTTCAAAAACCTGAAACCGTTAAACAAGAATATTTACTTTTTAAAATTTGTTTTAAAATTTGTTATTTTTTATTTATTTTTGTAAAAAGATAAAATGTAATGTTGCTTTTCACAACAGCTTATTTTGATAAACTAACAAACACATTTTTTTTGTTTTGAGGTCTCAAAAGTTTTTTGATTAATGCAATGTTGTCTGTTATTAGTGAACTGACACTCCCTTCATCAACTCAAAGGAAAACAATACAGAACTCCTTATCTTATTTAAAATTATTCTGGCTTTAGGATTGCACGTGGGTTGATAATTTAGCCATGCTTATGCCACACAAATCAGGTATTTGGCTATCATTTGGGACATGCGGAATAGGGGACTGGGGAAAGAGAGTGAGTAAGAATGAGTGATTGGGAAAAGAGTGCAAGTGGGACCCCAGGCAAAAAAAAGAGGAGGACAAATTTGTTCCAGGGTGGGGGAGTAAAAAAGGCAAACTGTTACACAAAGAGAAAGACGTAAAAGTTGAGAGGGAGGAAAGAATTTGTATGTGGGACTGGGAGGAGACCGAAGTGGATATGCATGATCTCACAGAGCCTCTCTTTTACAGCTCTCTCTCCTGCTGATTGGCTGAGAGATCTGTCAATCACATCACTTCCTCCAGGGCTCTGCAAGGTTCAGACAGTAGGGAGGTGGAGGCAGGGGGAAGAGGGAGTGTCCTCGGTAGTTTTCTCACTGAGGCACAGCAGACACGGCTCAACACGACAAGAAACTGAAACACAGTCTGACTTGCAAAGCAAGCCTAACCAGGAGCTCTCTCCAGCTTATTTCCTGTACTTGGAGGCCATCTTGAGTTGACGGACTTACTGCTATAGGTGTTTGTTTGCTTATCTCATTTGTTACAGTTTATTTTTTGTCTCCAGTGTGTTTGGTTGAAGTTTGGACGTTTTCCTCTTCAAAGTTGCTTTGGAGTAGTGAGGGAACAGGAAGCAGCAGGAGGAGGAGGAAGAGAGGACGTTTAGTTTCAAAGCTAAACTTTATCTGTATTTCTCACTTGCTCCTTCTCTGGAATGAAAGCTGTATAGAGGAGCTTTCCGTGAAAGGAAGGGCGAGAAGAAAGAAGAGACACTTCCTGGAAAGGGATCAGTTGTTTTTAAGCTCTAGTAGACAGGGGACACACAGCAAGAACGGCCACTATTGATGAGTGAGTGACTGCTGGTGTGTGTAGGTGAGTTTGCTGCCTCACACTACCCAGTCTTATCTCTTGACTGTCTAAGACTCTTCGGCATGGCCAACGTCAGTCCCTTCATGTCTCCGGGACCCATGTCCCAGGTCTTCTTCCCCCCGGGGGGTCCATCTCCACCTGGGTCAGTGGTGATGCAGCAGGGGACACCGGTTTCTGTCCATAACTCTCAAACCCCAGGGATTCCTACAGTGGACATGGGGGTTGCACCGGGTCCCGGCGGGGCATCTGGAATAACGTCTGGGCCTCCGGCACCAGCCGGTGTCTCCTTCATGATACAGATTGGGCTTACTAGAGAATCTGTGCTTCTACCCCAGACTGCAGACCTGGCCTACATCAAACAAATTTCTTGCTCAATTGTGGATCAGAAGGTAAGCACCACCCAGTACATTGTGCCTTGATGCTGTATGCACTAGCACTTTTGCACAAGCTTTGAAATAGCATGTTTGCCCTCAGAATTTGTGTATTAAGTTCTGCAGAGTATATGTTTGGATCTACAGCCGTTTATATTGGAAATTTAGTGGTTTACCTTCAGGTCTGCTAAAATGATTTTCAAGATTCTTAATTGTATTTTTTTGATGATTTCATTAGAGCAAAGGGTGTCCAATTCACACCATGCATGACACAAATATTTCTTACTTAGCTCACATGCACAGTGACCACAGAAATATGCAATGCATGCAGAACATGCAGTGGTAAAGTATGGCAACTCTTATCTCAGTGTAAGCAGTTCTCCACAGAAAAATCCCACACTGATGTGTATGTTGCCAATGAAGGCACTGATATGTAAGGTCGTAAGAATAATAATAATAATAATAAAAATGCATTAGTAAGTTCAAGCATTGTTGATTAAATTGCCAAATGTCAAACCCTCCAGGTGGGCCATCTTACCTGAATGAAGCCCTTGATGTAAACATTATATTCACTTAGATGTCTTAGTCTGGCACAGAATGTCCAGAACCCATTTCTGCAGTAATGGTACAAAAAACAGGCCATCCATTTCGTGACTGCACTTACCTCAAACCTGCATTAGTACCTAACATCTGAGATTTTATCAGCCAGTCAGACTGTGAGATGATTTGATTATCGGATTTCCATGCTCTGGGCAATAACAAGGGTCATCTTAAAAAGGTTAATTAGCAAGAGTTCTTTTCCAGGAAGCATTTCAGTATCACTATACCATACTTTGTCCAATAGAGCTTTGCAGTCACTAGTTGGAAATTCAGGCTTTAGTTCTGGTATCCATGTGAAGGTGAATGTCTTGAACTGTTGCTATGAAGAGAACATGTTTTAAAAGTTGCCCCAAAAGGGAATCTACAAAATAATATAAATGTGATTTGGACTTGGGGAAACATTGACCAACACTATGTTTTTCCTATTAACTCACAAATCAGTTGATTACAAGAAGTCCTTTGTTGTGTCCTTTGGATTGGGTGATTTGTGAGCTTGGATTTTGGCTCCTTCCCTCAACTCCCCTTGGCGTCAGACAGAGTGAGTCACAGTGTTCCCTCTCTGTTTATTCAAATGGCTCTCTCTGTTCCATGGACACTTTTTTCCATTCACTTGGAAGGTAATGTGGCGGCATCACTCAGTTCCTCCCTCTAGGCATTATTTATCCTCTTCTAGAACAAGTTTTCCTTTCCCTCAATCCCAAAAGAACTACAAAATTGTTCTGCCATCTATGTAATGCATAATTAAACCATCTATAGAGTACCAGGCTGTGGGCTGTCCCTTTTGTTCCTTGCCCAGCCTATTTTCCCTGCTGGTCCCACACGTAAGTAAGCCATTGTCCGTGGGATAAAGAGGAGGAAATTAAGCCTGTTTCCTCCCAAAGTAGGAGGCCATGGCGTGTCCTCCGCCTCTGAACCGCT